TGCGATCCGTTGCCGGTCATGAAAAAAGGCAAAAAGAAAAAAAAAAAAATTTCTACCAAAGCAAGTAAAATTCTTTTCTTTTCCAAGACTATTCTCATTTTTTAAGCTCTTTCATTATTGACTATTTCTACTATCTGGTAATTCTCTTACAGATTTGTACATATGAAGCTCTGAACGAATCCATGCCTCACTGTTATTTTATTTATATACTTGTTTTATATTTCTTAATTCCATCAGCACATCAATGGCTCCAGGTAGCTAATCACTAGTGGTATACTCCTTCTCTAAAACTTAGATGTCAGATTATGAATTTAGCTTGTGGATGAACACTTAACTTAAAATTTTCAATAGGTAAGATTTCATTTTTTATTTATAATTGAAGGAGTGCTAAAGGTGTTTACCAATAATTTTCCACACACCAAAAATCCACGAAACAATAAATAAAATAGATGCTTTAAAATAATTGTGTATGGCTCTTTCTTTAATAGTGAAATGAAGGAAAATCAGACAGTGGTCACAGAATTCATCTTACTAGGATTTTGTCTTGGCCTAAGTATTCACATGGTCCTTTTTGGACTTTTTACTCTGCTCTATGCCTTCACCCTGCTGGGGAGTGGGGTCATCCTGAGGCTCAATTCTCTGGACCCCAGACTGCACACCCCCATGTACTTCTTCCTCTCACACCTGGCCATCGTTGACATCGCCTATGCCTGCAACACGGTGCCCCAGATGCTAGTGAACCTCCTGAATCCAGCCACGCCCATCTCCTTCGCTGGCTGCATGACTCAGACCTTTCTCTTTTTGGCTTTTGCTCACACTGAATGTCTCCTCCTGGTGGTGATGTCCTATGCTTGGTGTGTGGCCATCTGCCACCCACTCCGATATTCTGCCATCATGAGCTGGAGAGTCTGCATCATCCTGGCAGGGACTTCCTGGGCATGTGGCTCCCTCCTGGCCCTGGTCCATTTAGTTCTGATCTTGAGGTTGCCCTTCTGTGGGCCTCATGAAATTGACCACTTCTTCTGTGAAATCCTGTCTGTGCTCAAGCTGGCCTGTGCTGACACCTGGCTCAACCAAGTGGTCATCTTTGCAGGCTGTGCGTTTGTCCTAGTGGGGCCCCTGTGCTTGGGGCTGGTCTCCTACTCACGCATTCTGGTCGCCATCCTGAGGATCCAGTCAGGGGAGGGCCGCAGGAAGGCCTTCTCCACCTGCTCCTCCTACCTCTGTGTGGTCGGGCTCTTCCTCGGCAGCGCCATCATCATGTACATGGCCCCCACGTCCCGCCATCCTGAGGAGCAGCAGAAGATCCTTTTCTTATTTTACAGTTTTGTCAACCCTATGCTCAATCCCCTCATCTACAGCCTGAGGAACGTGGAGGTGAAGAGTGCCTTGAGGAGAGCTCTGTGCAAAGAAAGTCATTCCCAATTGGTGTGACATTTGAATAGCCAGCTTCAGTGTTCTCCCAAGATGTTGGTGCCTGATTATAATCTAAATCCAGGAAAATATACTCCTGTCTTCTTATCTGTGCCTTAATGACGTTAAGAGCAAGCTTTCCCTCTTCCTTTGCAGAAAAAATTTTAGATGTGATTCATTTTCATTGGCTTTCTATGAGACATGATTTAATAAGATACAATTTTTTCATTTCTCATTGAATTGAATATCTGTGTAATTAAAATTTAATTCATTTTTGGATCCCAGAAGTTGAATACCTTCCTCCTTATCTTAACTATATAAACTCACTAGTTGCATATGTCATAAGATTTGGAAGAGAAAAAAAAAAGTTTCAGCCAAAGGATTTGATTTCCAAAACCCAGCAGCACACTTAACCACTCTCTCACAATTGCACTTGCCCTGTTAAAGAGTAACTCAGAGGTATTTCGTTAGCTGTGTGGCTGACCTCTGAGAAATTCCGTATGAAAATTATTGACTCATAATAGGGAGTTAACTAGTAGTCTGAGTGAAGGAACAAAATTAAAACAAAATATATAAGAGAAAAGAGAAGAGAAGCAAACAAAAAAAAAACATACAGATAGTGCAAATAAACTTTGTTCACAAATTTGGGGGTAAACTGTTTAGCTAGCAGAGGTAAAAATAGACTGAAATGAATAACAAAACTATTTGTGTTGTTTATGTATTCCTCACAAAATGTTGGACGTTGAGCTGTGAATTACATATAGTACATCCACCTCTATAGGTGGCTTTCCAGTGTCTTTTCATCAGTGCTCCCACCTTGGTGAGTCCAGTTGTGTATCATTTCCATCATTAGAAGGTGAAATCTTGAGAGTGAAGCAAAACAAATAATTAAGAACAAGTGACGGGCATTCAGCTTTAGAAAGAAAGGGATTTACATCTGCTAAAGAAAGCAGCTTCACTCTCAAATGAGATGTTTAAAAAGTGGGTGTGGTACCAAAAAAAAAACTGTGACTCCATGGGTCAGAGATGGAGTAGAACTGTGGCTATGAGCTGGACAGAGAAACAGTCAACAATGAGAGAGAAAACTGGCATTATAGTCTTACACTGATGCCTTTCCAATTAAGCAGAATTAGAATGGATGTTTTATAGCATTTTATCTATAAACAGCCCTTTCCCAAGACAAAGGAATTCAGATTTCATTTTTGGCATTCAAAATAGTTATAATCTTTCAGGGAGAATTTACAAAGCATTGCAGAGGTAGGTATCAAAATTTACATATAAGGTGGGAAGCTCCATGAGGGCAGGAAGTGGGACAACTTTATCCGCAACACTAGCTCACTGCCTAGCAAATAGTAAGCACTCAAAAAGCACTGGTCATGAAAATTCACGAGCCTTTAAGTATCAGTTAGCTATTTAGACACAATTTTCAATATCTAATTATCTTCTGGATTTCCATGTTTTTAAAAACTTTTTATCAATGGAACATAGAATGGTAGAAAATAACTGTAGCTTAAAAAGTATTAGCACTTGCTAATGCATTAACAATATATTAAATTCATTTGAGGCCAGCCCGTGGCTCACTCAGTAGAGTGCAGTGCTGATAACACCAAGGCCACGGGTTTGGATCCTATATAGGGATGGCCGGTTTGCTCACTGGCTGAGTGTGGTGCTGACAACACCAAGCCAAGGGTTGAGATCACCTTACCGGTCATCTTTATAAAAAAAAAAAAAAAATAAAAATTCATTTGATGTAATCCTCACATCAACATTGCAAAGTAAGTACTAATAATAGCCTCAGTTATGGAAGGGAAATTGAGGTTTAGAGAATTAATTAGCTTATTCAATGTCACAAAAAATTGAATGGTGGAATTAGAATTCTAGTCCAGTCAATTTGATCTAGATTAACTGGGAACCATTCTTTGAAAAGGACTCTACTAATATGTGCATCTCCATTGCCTAGACAAGGCCTTTTCCATACTAGTCACTCAATAAATGTTGACTAAATAAATAAACAAATAACAATTTAGCCCATTTTCCTATCCAAAAAAAATATAACTCCATAAAATATATAACTTAGGTATAGCAGCCATTAGACATCTATTGCCCAAGAATCACTTCAGTTCCAGATATACTCAGTTCTTGCAATGTTTCATCTGGATGGAATATTAATAATTAATTACATCTTATTTGCTAGTAACCAGAGAAGAATTGCAAACATATTACAGGAAGGTATCTAGTGCTTAATTTAAAAAACTAGGAAAATGGATATTCGTGTATATCATATAGAACAGAGGTTGTGGGTCTTTCAAAAGGAGTGTGAAACAAGTGGCCTATCCAGTCATCTCAACACACACTGGCCCAGCAGCCCCACTCAGCACTCTCAAGTAGAGAAATGAGACACTCCACCAAAGGTTCATTCAGTGTCCCCTCCCACTACCTGAGAAGCAGCTCAGAAGCCTTACACTTGGCTGTCCAGTACCCAAACCACAAAGGAAAGCATGACCTCACAGCCACCAACATTACTACCCCCTGACTCCAGATCACTACTGCCATAGCCACCATTCTCCCCACACAGCATTTGGTCCTGCTCCCCACCGATGCCCAGAACAGGTGCCACTAGCTTCACCTCACCAAGGTATAGGTGTTTCCACATTTTGTCAGGCAGGAGGAAAGAGGAAAGAGGGAGAAGCAACAACCTAGGAGAAATCTCTTCACACAGGAAAGAGGAAAGAGAAACCTCACCCAGGGCCATTTATTTAAACTGAGAAGCTGAGTACATTCAGCACACCCCAGTGCACCTATTAGGGGCGTGAAACACTAGCTGGAGTACCAGTAGGCCTGCCTAGAGCCAATGCCCAATAGAAAAGATATCTGCAAGAATGAGTCACTCTCTTCAGAAGCCACTCTGGATAATATAAAAAGCAACTACCACAGCAGATGACCAGACATCAATGTAGGGATACTAGAAATATGAACAAACAAGAAAATATGATGCCAACAAAGGAATACAATAATTCTCAAGTGGCAGATCCAAAATAGCAGGAACTTTTGAAATGACTGAAAAGGAATTCCAAACAACAACCTTAAAGAAACTCAACGAGATACATGAAGACTCAGATAGACAACACAACCAAAAGAGTAAACAATTTCAGGATATGAATGAAGAACTTTATCAAGAGATAAATACCTTTAAAAAGAACACAGCAGAACTCATGACTGAAGGATTCATTCACCTAAATAAAAAATAAGATTGAGAGGATAAGCAACAGGCTAGAGAATTTCTAATCTTGAAGACAGTCTTTCTGAAATAATCCAAGCTGACCAAGGAAAAAAGAATTTTTAAAAATAAAGAAAATCTGCAAGAGCTATCAGACAACCTTAACATCTGAATTATGAGTGTTCTGGAAGGGGAGGAAATAGGAAAAGGTGTAGAAAACCTATTCAACAAAATAATAGTGGAAAACTTCCAGTATATTGGGAAAGATACAGACTTTCTGATTCCAAAGGCTCAAAGATCCCCAAACAGATTCAATACAAAAAGTTTCTCAACAAGGCACATTGCAGTCAAACTGTAAAAAGTCAAAGACAATGAGAAAATCCTATAGGCAGCAAGAGAAAAGTGTCAAGTCACTTATAAGAGAGCCTTCATCACAGTAACAGCAGTCTTCTCAGCAGAAACCTTACAGGCCATAAGAGAATGGGATGGGATGATATTCAAAGTACTAAAAAAAAAAAAAGCCAAGAATACTGTATCCAGCAAGGTTATCCTTCAGAAAGAAAGAGACAACTTACAGGCCATAAGAGAATGGGATGGGATGATATTCAAAGTACTAAAAAAAAAAAAAAGCCAAGAATACTGTATCCAGCAAGGTTATCCTTCAGAAAGAAAGAGACATAGTGTATTTCCCAGACAAACAAAAACTGCAGGAGTTCAATACCACATGACGAGCCCTACAAGAAATCCTCAAGAGAGTCCTACATATGGAATATAAAAAAAAGATAATTACCAACATGAAAACATGAGATAGAGAAAAACCCACTGGTAGAACAAACAGGCACTCAAGAAATATAAAAAAACTATAATTTACCACTTTGAAAAATCAACAAACACTGTAGACAAACAATAAAAGGGAAAGAAAGGAACAAAGGATGTTTAAAACAACAATATAAAAGTCAATAAAATCTCAGGAGTAGGACAATACCTCTCTATAACAACCCTAAATATAAATGGGTTGAATTCCCCATTCAAAAGACATACACTGGCTGAATGTATTAAAAAACAGGACCCAACCATATGCCATTGACAAGAAACTCATCTCACTTATAAAGACTCACACAGACTAATAGTGAAGGGATGCAAAAGATATACCACAAAAATGAAAATGAAAAATGAACAGGATTAGCTATTATTAGATTGGATAAAATAGATTTTAAACAAAAAACTATTAAAAAACGAGGGATCTATCCCCTATGAGGATTTAACAATCACTAATATATACACACCCAACATTGGAAAACACAAATATGAAAATCAAACATCAGTAGACCTAAATAGGGAGATAGACCCCATAACAATAATAGTAGGGTACTTCACCACCCTTCTCTCAACACTGGACAGATCATCTAGGCAACAAATCAAGAAGGAAACACAGGAATTAAACTACACTTTAGACCAAATGGACATAGCAGACATCTCAGAACATTTTATCCAACAACTACATGATATACATTCTTCTCATCAGCACATGGAACATTCTCCAGGATAGATGACATGTTGTACCACAAATCAAGTCTCAATAATTTTTTTAGAAATGAAATTATTTCAGGTACCTTTCCAGACCACAGTAGATTAAAATTAGATATCAATAACAAGTGAAACTCTGGAAACTATTTAAAAAGATAGAAATTAAATAATATGATCCTGAACAACTTATGGGTCAAAGAAAAAATTAAACAGGAAATCAAAAAATTTCTTGAAAATAATGCAAGTGAAGACATATCATACCAAAACCTATGGGATA